CAGGCTAAGAATGCAGAGGGAGTACAGAACTGCTTCCTATTTGACATTTGATACTTTGCCCAAGAGGAGGAGTCAGGAGAAGTCCTTAATTCCAAATCTTCACATTGCTGCAAACAGGTGAGACTGTAACCCAGCAAAAAATCAGGGTTATGCAGATTTTTTTTTTTTTTAAGTATACAGGTGTTTTGGTTTTTTTGGCTGGCCTGGAGTTTGAACTCAGGGCCTTAAGCTTCCTAGGGCAGGTGCTCAAACACTTGAGCCACATCTCCAGCCCTTATGCAGATTGTTTGCTGAGGTCTCATGTAACTGTGTCAGGCTACAACCACCACTGTACATCAGGGTGCCCATATTATATGGCTTCCTTGAGGCATGTGTGCCCTTGCAGCAGATAGCAAGGGACATGGCTGTCCTCTTCCCTAGGACAGTGAAGGCCACTCTCCCATTCCCTCCTTCCCTGCCCAGGAAATGGAGGTCCCAGAGGTCACAATTCACATGCACAGCCACTGCCTCTCCCTCCTTCTAGGCTCCTCGATACAGACTTTAGCACACCCCTCCTCAGTCTCTCTACTGCAGCCCTGACACAACCACCCTGCCATCCCCTGGCTTCTAGATTGCCATGGCCTCTGATCCTCCAAGACCCTCCATACCAGGGATCTTGTGTGCTCTACCTCACACTGTACAGACAGGCCAAGATCAAGTGCTCATGTAGTGCTGGGCCTCAGGTGCAGCACCACTGAAGAGTGTTCTCTTAGGCCAGCAACACTCTGGCTCTGAGGCCCTGTCCACATGTCCCACCTCACCTACTAATTCAGGCCACTACTTTAGTTGAAACCCTGATACAATGCTTCTGTCAGTTTTACTTAAAGGTTGGCTCAGTGTACCCCTGATAAGACATACATCCAGCTGGATCCTCTCCCAGCCATAGCCCTTGCTATCTGCTGCAAGGGCACACATGCCTCAAGAAAGTCATATAACATGGGCATACCCTGACGTGCAGTGGTGGTCATCCTGACGCAGTTACATGAGACCTCAGAAAACAATCTACATAACCCTGATTTTTTGCTGGGTTACAGTCTCACCTGTTTGCAGCAATGTGAAGATTTGGAATTAAGGACTTCTCCTGAACTCTCCTCTTGGGCTAAGTATCAAATGTCAAACTTGAATTTGAAAAGTAATTCACCACAAGACAGCTGGGTTTGATGGTAGCCAGGGAGGAAAATCAGATTTCACCTTCACCCTTACAAGTATGAGAATGTACCAGCTTCTCCATCTCCCTCATACCTCTCTCTGCACCTGGGAGCACCATGCCTGCACCTGGTCACACTAGCACTAGGTAGTTCATGCTAGAGACAGGCTGGGCCTGCTCCTCCCCTCTGTCATGAGTGTGTAACATCAAGAAACATCGAGTCTGCAAAGTGTAGCTGAGAGAAGTGACGTGCTGAATTTGCTCTGGTCATTTACCTGAGTGGGGATGATGTCAGAGAGGAAGGGATGAAGAAGACAGTGAGTGAAGCAGACAGAGAGCCAGCAGTAGCCTTCCATGCCCCTTCCTGACCTCTCTAGTGAGCATCAAACACCTCCTCTTTGCCTGGCCTGGCTTATGGTCTTGCCATTTGAGGAAAGTATGAGGAAGGTGGCCTTCAGGAGCCCAGGGGCAGCAAAGCCTAGAGCACCTTTCAGTGCCCTTTGCCTCTATTCCCCTGGGCACAGGACACACTCGAGGCTTAACTCCTATACTTCCGGTTATCCTCAAGAAAGTATCTATCCAGTCGGTCCTACAGGTTTCTCAACCCGGTTTGCCATTAAAATCATCTGGGTCACTTTCAATTATACATACTTGGACCTCACCCTAATCAATCAATATCCAGATTTAGATAGCAACTGCATAAACCCTCTAAGGTTAAATACATACCTAACCTAAACCAATCAAATCCAAGAATACCATGGTGTCAATACATTTCCTCTCACTGGTCTGTGGCAGAGCCCAAATCCACCAGCATTCAGGTTTGTCAACTTTACCCTCCTGTCTTAGCCCTCCTGAATGCTGGATTACAGGTGTATAAGACTGGATTAATTGTATTAAAGTCCTGGATTTAACGTAAATGTTCTTATTAGTTGCCTCTGGGACAAGTAGCTGGTCTGGTTGATGCTTTTAGCCAAGAGTCAGGCTTGGCCAAAAACATGGTGACTACAGTTCTATGACTGTCTCCTAGGGCCCAGTCTCTCCAAGCCCCGATAACAAAGAAAGGGCACGTGGACACAAAGAAGTAGGTAGCTGTGACCATTAAAAAGAAATAAGGAAATGAACTCTCATGCTTCTTATTTCTGTCTTCATGAACTCTTCCTTAGGGACTGCAGAATCAATGTTTTCATGTCACTGAGCCCAGACTAGCTAAGAAAAATTATGAACAAAAGACCAGACTATCTAATACGTTCCTTCAGTGTTATCAAGTAATCATTAATTTACAGTTTTTGAGAACTATGGCAAAGAAAATACCTCTGTTACGTGATCCACAAATATATTTCTCATAAATTAGATTTGAGGCTGTTTCCTTCTCCATAACTACTTGATCTTGACCTTTCCTCCAAAGCTCCCAGACAGTGATAAGGAATGAAGGCAGATCTTTGGAAATGAATGCCAGTGGTAAAAAACAAAAAACAAACAAAAAAAAACATGAGCACATTTCCAAAAGCCTATAGCTACTTTAACCTAGATGTAGTTCACTGAGTTACTGGTAAGAATGTGAAAACTTGTTAAGACTTCAGACATTAGCTAGTTCCAGAATGATCTGGGATCTACCTGAACATTTTAGTGCAAAAGCTAACTAACTGTTTTTTGAACATTATAGATAGTGAACATTTTAGGACTATGGCCTGTGTGGCTTCTGTCCTAACTACCCAGCTCTGCAATAGGAACATGAACATCACCATCAACAATGCCTAAATGTGGTTGCACGTATGAGACTATATTTCAATATCAGCTTATTTGCAAAAACAGCCAGGCTAGATTTAGCAGTTTGCCAATCCCGGTTTTACCAGAACATAGATTGAGTTGAGTAACATTAAATGGCTAAGAAACAAGGAAGAATGACATAGTAAAAGACTGAATGGATTTAATGAGAAATATTCCATATTGGTTGCTGAACACCAGAATGCTGTCCAAGGAACCATCATTAAATAAAACAATCTGAAAACAAGGCAATTCTCACATACACAAGCACACGCACACAAAATCTGTTATGCTTAGGATCATTAAATTACTATTTTAACAAACAGACGTAAAATAACATTACAGTGAATAATGTGCACAAACTTGAGAAACACAGTTCAGATTGTCTATGAACAGAGGTTCTTAATTTGTACTTTTTCACATATGTACAGCCTCTTGATTGTAGAGACCACATGGCTCAAAGAGTTAACTGTGTCTTCTCCCAACTTAGAACTACAGATTTAATCCAACCATTTAAACTTTTAAACTGCTCCAGGTTTTTGCTTGGTAAAAGGCAGCAGAAGACTGCTCTTGACCAAGCTTCCCAGGGAACAAATACTACACTTGCCTCCACCATCATAAATAAGTTGGAGGAAGAAATCATTAGCTTAACATTTTCAAAAGTGAACCACAGTCAACAAGGTTTGCTGAAGAAATAGTATTATTCTAAGACTGGAGACAAGAAACAACCTCCTGAATACATTTAACCTTACTTAATGCAGGTATGTTCCCTGAAGAAGTGTAAGAAAAATGGAATCACGTTTTCTATACACCATGGGAGTGGGATGTGGGTGGCTGAATGGTTTTCTTCGGCTAAGGGTTTTGCTCACAAAAGGGATACTAGCATAGTAGCTGACTCTCATGGTAATAGGAAGAGGGGCAAATTAAGTCCAAATGTTTCCACTGCCATTATTTTACTTTTGCTTCAATCACTCCCCCCAACCCCTCCCTCTAAAGTTGCTGATATATAACATGTATGACGCTAGACTGTGCATGATATGGCAGCAAAAGGCCAACTAATCCATAAAGTGGATAATCGATCTATGAGTTATCAAAAGTTAGATGAGATTTCATAGGCACAGACTTGAGAGAACTGAAAACAGCTGGCAGAGGTAGATGGGCATGAAAAACACCACAAAGAAGTAAGATTACCTACAAATTGACTGTATGATTTTAGGTAGATCTTATACACTTGGTATTCGAAGTACAAGAGTCAGAATAAATAATGGACACAGGACACACACTTTGCTTGCATAACTTGTAAATCAAAAGAAAATTTAAAAAATTAGTGTCTTTCAAAACTATCCCTAGTATGACCATCTATTTTCATTTGTGAATAACAATAAGCTGATTAAGAGGACAAGATCAACAGGCAATATACAAGCCCCAAATTCTCAGGATTTTTTTTTTTAATGCTTTTATAATGACAAAAACATGCTTTCCTACAGTTCCCAAAGAGGTTCATTGCTAGAATACAAATGATCAAGTATAAATTACTAGCATTCAAGGAAACCTTGCTGAAACTACAAGAACAATCTTGTAGTTTTCTTCCCCTTCAACTGTGTTGGACAGTTTGTGAAGATGCCTCCATAAACAGCACAGGTAACAAATGCTACTGAAGAAAGCAATACTGCTTCCCACAACCCTAACTTCTAAAGGCTAACCTAGGGGAGGAATTTTCGGTGTAGTTAACTGGCATCTATGCAAGAGTCATCTAACTACAGCCCCTACTAGAAAGGGAACATAGCTAGGACACTTGAATCAAATGACAAAGACCAGCTTTGTCCGTAAGGACACCTTTGGCCCTTTTAGGCTAGCTTTGAATTGTCCATCAAGTTTAAAAATGAACCGTGTCCGTATTTTACTGTATAAATCGTAACAGGTAAATCTTTCTAGCAGCTGAGCTGGAGAACACCAAAAGTCAGGCCACACCTATTCACATTTCTCAGGCCTTCCTTCAGGACAGCTTGCCACACTTATCTCTAGGCCTTTCCTAAGATAGAAGTTATAATACTGATTTACCTCACAAAGCTGTGAGAAACAACTAACAATCATTAAAAAGCATAAAGCACTTTGCAAATATGAAAGTGCTATTTTGGCATCAATGTAACAACTAGAAAACATTCATTGCTTGTGCTATTTGGCAATTTTGCATTTAAACCTCTCCCTGACTATGCCCTCCTGTGTAAAGCCTTGCTATTTCTACAGTGCCTTTACATATAGGTAAAAGAAATTCCTGCTTAAACTAGATCCCTCAGCAGGATGGAGGTTGGGGGTTTGTGAGGACAGGGAACCCACATGCAAAGTGAAGGCAAATGAGACAAAGGGGCCTTGCATCCCAATGTACCTTCCTGGATTTCTCACGTAAAGCCAGCAGTTGGTGACAGTCTGAAGGTCACTCGACATACACACAAGCTGACCTGGAAGGGGAAAGTCACATATAGTTGGCATTGTTCCATTTCCCTGCACTGAAGAGGTTACAAGTGAGACCTTAAAGAAATCCTGGGTCTAGCACACACCTGACGCAGGGGGCAAGGGGCAGGTTATCCACCTAAACAACCTAGACCTAACATTAAGCTAGAGTGTTTTCAATGAGTACAGTAAAGAACCAGAACTCCCCCAAGAGATCTGAGACTCAGTTACAAATGAATGTCCTAATCCCAGAAATCTCCCCTTGAATAGAGAGCATGTAGTTTTTCTGCTCAGTTACCCCTGGATGTCTCAAAATAGCAGCTAACTGTGGCTGGAAGAAAGAAGGGGAATTGTATACAAACTATCCTCTTTTACAGGATTAAAAAGACTATAGCGGATGGGGGTGGGGAACCAAGGTCAAACACTGCCTTCCCACTTGGTTAAGAACGGGATAGAATTATTTATACCTGCATTTAATTTTACCCCGTAACTTACTCCAGCCAACCTACCTGCCATACTGTTTGTGGCCCAGCCACCCTCAAATCCCCTTCCTCAAAGTGCCTGCTCCTCCATGCACTTCACTCCCTACCTCATGTATTTGAGGAAGCCATCAATTCAAGTACATCTGCCACAAATTTCTTCCATGGAGAGGAGGTAGGCAAAATGTAGCACCTCAAAATAACAACTCTTATTCAAGGACCCTCTAACGCTAAAAAGCTCCTCAGTCACTCTCAGATTGTCCTTCCCATCTCTTCCCCACCTCTTTCTATAGGGTCTGTGCCCAGGACCCCTACATCCCCCCACACCCCACCCCGCTCCCCACCTCCTCTGAGCGCAGACTCCCTCCCTCCCTCCCCGCCCTAGCACAGGTGCAGCTTCTGGTGCTGCGCCAGGTGCGTTTTGTAGCGGAAGCCTTTGCCACAGCCCGCGCACTTGTGCGGCTTGTTGCCAGTGTGAATGCGGCGATGGCGGATCAGGTGCGAACTCTGGATGAAGCTCTTGCCGCACTCTATGCACGTGTAGGGCTTCTCGCCCGTGTGCGTGCGCTGGTGCTGCGTGAGCGTGGAGAAGTCGCTGAAGCGCTTCTCGCACTGGCCGCAGCGGAAGGGCTTCTCGCCCGTGTGCACGCGCAGGTGGTTCACCAGGTGCGAGTTGCGCCCGAAGCCCTTGCCGCACTCGCGGCACACGTACGGCCGCTCGCCCGAGTGCGTGCGCTTGTGCGTAAAGAGGTGCGAGCTGACGCTGAAGGTCTCGCCACACTCGGAGCACATGTAGGGCTTCTCCCCCGTGTGCACACGCTGATGCTTCACCAAGTCCGAGCGCCAGCTGAAGCGCTTGCCACACTCACCGCAGCCGTGCGGCTTCTCGCCGGTGTGGATGCGCTGGTGGTTGGCCAGGTGCGACCGGCGCACGAAGCCCTTGCCGCACTCCCCGCAGGCGTAGGGCCGCAGCGCCGCCGCGCCTGCGCCGCTGGCCGCCGCGTGCGCGCGCCGGTGACTCAGCAGGTGCGAGCTGAGGCTGAAGGCCTCGCCGCACTCCGGGCACGGGTAGGGCTTCTCGCCCGTGTGGAGACGCCGGTGCTTGAGCAGGTCGGCGCGCCAGCTGAAGCTCTTGCCGCAGTCGGCGCACAGGTTGGGCCGCTCGCCCGTGTGCAGGCGCAGGTGGTTGGTCAGGTAGGTGTTGCGGCTGAAGCCCTTGCCGCACTCGCCGCACCGGAAAGGCTTCTCACGTGGGGGCCGGGCCAGCGCGGGCCCCGCCCCAAAGCCCCCGGCCACGCCCACCCCCATCATTCCCACCACCGCCCCGCACTCGCCCGCCAGCCCAAAGGGCTCTAGGCTGGCGACCGCCGCGGCCTCAGCCAGGCGGTGAATCCGCTGGTGCTGCAGGAAGGCGGCTCCGGGGCTGAAGCTCTCCCCACAGTCGGGGCAGATGGTGGGCGCGTCCATGATGCTGGCCACCAGGCTGTCGAGCTCCCCGAGATCCATGGCCATGGGGTGGTGGAGCCGGTGGAAGCGCCGGTGGGCAGGTTTGTCACCCCGCAGTCGACTCCCCAGGGAGAGGTGGCGCCTCCAGGGAAGTACAGGAGGGGACCGCTGCTCTTCTTCCTCTTCCAGCCGGTTCTCCCCTGCGCTTTCCTCCTCTTCTTCCTCTTCTTGGGGGCTCCGAGATATACTGTCAGACTCCAACAGCGCTGGGAACATCCTCATGTCAGGCTCACCAGACTGGCTGTCCTCGTCCTCATCGACAGCAACCCCTTCTTCCTCACTCAGCAGCCCCTCTGCAAAGGAAAAGTGGAACTTAGTAGACCTGGATGGAACTCAAAGGTCAGCCTAGAGGAATTCAGCTCTACAGTAAAAGTGTGGGTCACAGAGTAGTGCACCTCCCCACCTCTCCAAAGTCCCTACATTCCCGCCTCTCTCCTACCCAGCTCTGAGCCTGTGGGGAAAGGCTCTCTCGCCCACTGCCTACCACGTCTTAATCGGTTGCACCCACTCTACCCTAGGCTATGCCTAGTGAGCCATCCGATGACTGCAATGGCCAACTCTGTGCCATTTCAAAAGACAAAAACAGTCTCGTTAACTATGAAACAAAAACAACAGTAAAGGCACGTGGCTGACCCAGGCCCTGGACTGATTTTTAAAATACCCACAGTAAAGACTTGAGTATATGTGGGGTAAAGGGAGAAGCAGTAGGGAAAGAGAGCACAGAGCCTAAAGCTGATGAGCCCAGATTAGACTGGTCCAGGACACACACCTGTTGGGTCTCCAGTGATTTAGCCACAAGCAGAGGAAGTTACTGCAAAATGGAAGTCCACATGCTTTCTTGCACTGTGGAGGAGGGCAGCAAACAGTCTGGGATTTTGTCACGGGAAAAGGAATGTAACCTCACAGTCCTTGCCATAAAGTATTTCAGCTCATTTCTGTCCCTGGGGTATACACTAAGCAGTATAAAGCAACAACTGCCCAAAGACAGAAACAAGGAAGTGCACAGAGGCCCAGCATTTTACTCTTTCAGGTCAGAAATAGCAAGGAATTTAGAAGAGCACTGGGACACTTTGGGAATGAGCTACAGGAACCTAGGTAGTTCAATTAACCACTGAGTTTACTTGTCTGTAGAGGGAGATGACTTAACTGGAAACTTCTGGATACTTTGCCCGGCACTGTGCTAAGTAAGTCTTTAAAGGCAACCTCTCCCAACATCCTGTGAGGTGGGTTCCAATGTTACCTGTGTGGTTCTGCTGCAGGATTCTGCTTCTGTTGTTACAAGTGGTCATTTACAGCAGTACTCTTACACTGAGTGAGCCTCTTTACCTGTGCTTACCAGCACAACCTTGGCAGTGAACTGGTTTGAAGAAAAGGATGTTCCTTGGGCCAACACTAGGAAGGCTGTTAGTACAGAACCCTACTTAAAGGTCTCCTCTAGAGAGTACCCTCCACCCTGGTTATAATTCCAGAGGAGCTTGATGTAAATGTGAATGGAGCATCTTCTGTGGAAATTTCAGCCTTCTCACCTGTACAGATGTCAGGTTCTACTTCCCTCTCCTGAGAGTCCCTTCTTAGAGCTTCATCCCGTGAGTTGGAGGCCAACTCTTGCTCTTTTTCTTCTATATCCTTTGGATTTGAGCCCATTCCTCTTTCTTCTGAGTCCCCTTCCCTGTCCTCAGAGTTCTCAAAATCAGAGCCCATCCCTCTGTCTTCTGAGTCCTGGTGTTCACACACACTCTGGTTATCTTCTTGTTCCATCTGGGAAGAAAAGAGCACGGGAGGTGACCAAGAATGCCTGCTCCAGACAAACACACAGAAGGAAAGGTCACATCAGCCTAGACTCATCCCCTCACTATGTCTGGCCTTGATTTCCCCATCTAATAAAAACTAGAGATCCAAGCCCCAAATAGCAAATCTCTACTCCCCATCAAATGTTCATTTAAAGTAAACAAGGGGTGCAAAGGAGGGTGTGTGGGTGGCGGAGGGACAATGGCAACCTCATACTGAGGCTGCATGCCAGCATTCACTGAACCCAAGCTTTGTCTGCCTCTGGGTATGAAGTAGAGGTCCATTTTTACAGCTAAGAAAATCTGAGGCTCAAAAAGAAGACTCATATAACAAGACTCCATAACTTACGAACAATACAGTGGAGATTAAACCAATTTTGCTATCTCAAAGTTCTATTCTTTCCTTACTCTTTTTTTTTACATTTTATTAGCATATATTATACAAAGGGGTTCTGTTGTGACATGTCCATGCATGCATACAGTGTACCCCAAGCAAATTCATTCCTTCTATAACTATTCCTCGTCTCCCTTCCCCTCTTTCTTAGAACAATTTCAGCAAGTTTCATTGTTCTATTTTCATACATGTGTATGACTATCCATACTCACCAACTTTCACCCTCTCCTTTTGTCCTCCCACCTCCTGCTGGTACTCACCCCCAAAGAGAATCTATTATACATTCCTGCCATTCATTTTTAAGGACTAGATTCTGTATATGAGAGAAAACATGGTATTTTGTTTGTTTTTTTCTCAGTTTGCCTTATTTCACGTAACATGATGATCTTTAGTTCCGTCCGTCTTCCTGCAAACAATGTAAGTACCCCATTGTATATACGCATCACATTTTCTTTATCCGTTCATCAGTTGAGGGGCATCTGGGCTGTTTCCATATTTTGGCTATTGTGAATAGTGCTTCTATAAACATGGGTGTGCAGGTATCTTGAAAGTATGTGACTTACTCTCTTTCAGATCCCAGGAGTGGTATAAGTGGATCATGATAGTTTTTTTTTTAAGGACCCTCCATATTGATTTCCACAGTGACTGAGCTTGCCTACACAAGCTTATAACAATTTTGCAAGTATTTTAGCTAATAATAAGAGTGCCTTTATGAAGCCGGAGGAGAAGTACATTGGACTCATAAGAATAACACAAACGTCAGTGTGGTCATTTCTTATCTAAGACCATGTCTTCAATGACACCACTAATCTGGCTTTGTGGCAAGAATTTGCCACTTGCCAGGCACAGTAAGCCAAGATGATTAAAGGGGACTGGTGGAAAAGATATAGTGGCTTGCTATATTGAAGTCATCTCTATAGTTCTAATTACATATTTTGCAGTATTTGAATTGTAGATAAGCTTTAGCAGAAACATGCACCAGGGACAGTTGGTAACCTTTGTACAGAAAAGGCCAACAAGTGAATTGCAAGGAGAAACACCAGATTCCTAAACCCTTTGTAGATGTCAGGTTTACATCTCAATTCAAAGAGCCCCCTGCCAAGACTGAGCAGTTGAGCCAAAAATACTTTATTTCTGCCATCCATCACTCCTGCAGCTTAGCTCAAGGCAGCAAAACCATTTCTGGGTCAAGCATCTTGGCCTATGACTTTGAAGAGAGTACCTCTCCTACTGCCTCAGCCATCCCAAATGGGACTGCAAGAATATGGCTGATAGGTTTGATCCTTGCTGCCACAAAAAAAATAAAAGCAAGATGCTCCTACTTTGGTTGGGAGACTTCCTGCTCTGTTGAGGGCTTTCCTGAGGCAGCCCTGGCTCTACAGAGCCTTTGGAAAGCAGGAATAGTTACAGGCAGTGGAAATTCCTGCACTGGGTCGGCTCACAGTAGGGAATCCAAGCCGAGTGAATGAACCTCTCATTGTTTCAGCATCCTCATGGGTGGAAGGAGGGTGATGCTACTTCACCTCTGTTACAGAGGGTGTCACAGGAATCTAATTAAAGAGCACTTTGGAAAATGTTGCACAGGGTTATGGATGCTTTGGGTTTCACAAATGTGAGATGTGACTATTCCTCTTTGTAAGTCTTTATACCACTCTGGCACACCTCAAAGACACTGGTCCCTCTATAATATTAGCAGATACATCACCCTAAGAGCATATAAGATTCTTTCTCACTAATAATGTTATATTTTTTAGATTAGAGTGAAAATAATTAAGCTCTGATGTTACTCAACACTGTCCTGAAATGAGGTGAATTCTTTTAGAAGGTATATATAATTAAAACTGCCAAATTACCAACACTCAGATTTTTTTTTTCTGTTAGACTACAGGAGAAAAATCTCATTACAGCCATAAACCCTTTCAGAGGTGAATTCTACAAGAGGCTGTTGTCTCCCTCACTTCTGTCCACCATTCTTTTGCCCTCTAGAAGTCAGATTCAATGGGAGCACATCCCTTGAGTCTGTATCTATAATGCACCTGAAGGTGGGGGTAAAGGGGATGGGGAGGCAAGAGTTGGTTTTTAAATATGGCCAATTGGTCTGCTAGTGGTGGAAGGCAGTGGAAGGGGTAGGGGTAGTTAAGGGGAACTAAACAGTTTCTGCCAACCTGAGTCCAGCAACAACTTTACACCAATAATGGAATCAAAAGAAGCATGTCACCGAAACTCCTAAAACTAAAATGACATGGTCTGGTGCCCAGCATGGTACAGAGATGACTGCAACTCTCCACCGTGCAGGGGAGCTAAGGGGTCTAACCTGGGAAGCAAGGAACAGAGCTTCACCTCTGAGCCCTTTTAAAGATGAGTTCTTAGCACCGCAGAAACAATAAGAGTGGAACAAGAAGACTGATTTGTGACTTCCTCCAAGCCAGAAGACCAGTCATATCAGAACTAAACTGAGAAACATGGTTTTTCTTGATTGAACAGAGGAGGGGTTAGTGAGAGAGCCAGAGGGCCCCTCCTAGAGCTGGCGTGTGAATTATGCATGCTCCACAGGCAGAATCGAGGCAGGTTCTGCGCCCCTAAGGGAGTACTTCCTGATCCTCATCCACACGTGGGGGCGGGGGGACGGGGTTCTCTGCAAAGAACCAAAGCCCTACCACCCAGAGACACAAACTTCACTCTACAGCAACAACTCAAATTTACTTTAAAATACATTCTGTTAGTGCAAAACTGGAGATCTGTACACCCAAAATCTCTATTCACGCCATTCATGCATAAAAGTGTCAATCCATTCACGCCATTACATCCTGGCTGTAGGCAGCAGTCAAGGAATGGAGAAAGCTATTTAGAGGCAAGAAAGATGGTCCTGATATATTAATTGATGAAAAGTGGCAGTTTTAAAACATAGCTCATTTTTGTTTATTAATATTTGCAAGCTAGTATATATCTTTGCACATGTATACAAGTTTAAACAAAAAGACCAGAAAACTATTAAAATGTTAAACATCTCTTGGCTGCTTCTGGAAGATTTACAGTTATAACTCATTTAAATCTTAACATAAACCCAATGAAGTAGAGTACTTACAGGTTCACAGACCAGAAGAAAGAATGGAAGTGATCAGGTCAAGGTTATACAGAGTAAACTTCAGAGTAGGCTTTATTCCAGGCAAACCACAGTCTTAAGACAGCTTCCAGTAGTTTGGGAAGTCTCATCCTTTGTGTGAGAATATGTGTGTGTGTGTGTATTTTCTATAGCAAATGTGTAATTTTTTACCAGGAAAAAGGCTAACTTTGTTTTTAACATGATAAAATATGTTAAAGAAAACCCTGTAATTATAGAAGCAACAAAAAGGAGCAGGAGTTGCGATTGCTTCACTCTAGAAGACTTATTTTCAGAAATGTTATCTAGACACTGGAATAACTAGTGTCAGTACATATTCCGGCACATTTTGTTCCAAACTCCTTTCCCACTCATTCTCAAAATAAAAACTAGCAACATGTTTTCTTAGGCAAGGCCAGAGTTGGATAATGAGTAGGCAGCAGTGCAGGGTGGTGGCTTTGTGGCCAGATTGACTGGAGTTTAAATTTTCTGCTCTTTGCCAGCTACTTGACCTTGTGCAAGTTACGTGACCTTGCTGAATCTCATAGATTGTGCATCCATCAAAACAAGGATGCTTGCAGGATTGTTCTGAGAATCACACAAGATTAATGTTTATAAAAGCCACTGGCACATAGAGACACAATAAATGGTAGTTAGAAGTACTATATTGTTAAACTTCAGCCAACTTCTTGATTTTAAAAATTATGCACTAAATTGAGGTTACCTGTTCGCAGCTATATTCAATGAGAATGGCCTTTGGCAAGTATGAGCAGAGCTTTCCCAGCCTTGCTACTAGGGCTCTGTCAATGAGCAGTTGACCATGTGAAGCCAAGAACCAGGGAGGAGCTAGCTGCTTAGGGGACCTGGGTAGAGGGAGAAAAGTTTGCATTTGCTGATAAACCCATCCTGTATACAGAGAATGGATCTGAAGCTGAATGGGAAGTGGGTGTGTGGCTCAGTAAACCCTAACTACGCTATTTGTAAGGAAGCCCCCTGCCCCAGCAAAAAGAACTAGAAGTCTAAGGGAAAGAACAACAGGGTTGAGGGAGTGGTCAAGCAGACAAGCTTGACAAGACACTAGACATCTAGTTCTAGTCACTAGAGACAAAAGAGCAGTAAGGTAATGGGAGAGAGCGTGGGTTTTAGCCAGCAGAGCCACTGTGCTGTCTGACTTCAGGTACATATTTACCCCCTCTGGGCTTCTACTCAATAAGGAGGTTGGGCTTGAACACACAGGTGAGTTAATCTGGAAGACACTAAGGTCAGTTTTATTAGGCAATTTTAGGTCCATCTTGTCTCCTCATGCACCCCACTCCATGCCATACAGCCTTTTTCTTAGATGAAAAGCATGAGATTGTGTGACCTTACAAGACTGCTCAAACCCCAGGTTCTAGAATTTTCGATACTTTCATGTCTCTTCCTCTATTCCATAGCCCCAACTCAAAAAAGAGTAACATTTAGTTATCCTTTAAAGTCA